TCCCTTTTTGCATAATTTGCTTGTATATGTGCATAAAATCTCATACTTAGTACATGTGGAGTACTAACCCCATTTTCTTCCCTTTTCCCTAAACATTTTAGGTTCCCATCGTTGAAGAGTTTTGGGAGGCGTCATTGTTGAAGGCTTGGATTCTTCCTTTCATCCAAGTGGGATAGGTCTTCGACTTTTGAGGGCAATGCCATCTTCTAGCTTCGGATTTTGTTGTGAGCTTATTGACTCTACCATTTCTTTCCTTGTTATTTGAATATTGTACTTTCTTATGGCCTATACATGGTCTTGTTGAATTGATATAAGGGTGATGCCCATATTGTGATATTCCGTGTAGATGGTATGAGATGAAACAAACATTGAGACTATCTCTATATTCTTATATATGTATGTGCAATAAAAGTAGAAGACTATGTAACCTTCCTATATGAAGGGTCTATGTATACTCGATATGAATATATAGTATGTGTATGTAGAGGTCTATGTAAACCTCCAAGTAGTAATAATTAAAAGTTCTAAAAATTTTGCACTTTTCCACCTATGAATGTAATGACATGAAACTAAGAGGCTAGTCTTAGTCCTTCAAAAGGACGACGACGCCGGTTACGTCTAGGGAGTAAACCTGGATGTGACATAGACAACAAAGGTGGTGCAATCAGACATGGAAATTGAGCAAACAAGTCATCCACAACACGATTAGTGGGGCTAGCCAAAATTTGATCACATATGGAGTCAAGATTAAATGAAATTCCAGCAAGTGTAACAACTAAAAACACTTGCTCACATTGCTTCTATTGTTTTAAACACTTGATTAGTGGGCATTAGCTCATTAATTTCTTCTATAACTACCTAAACCTATCCAAGATTAGTAGACATATCTGAATCATGTTTCAAGGTTACTCAACAAGAAATTACATTATAAAAGCAAGAGATGTCATTTGTTTATAGCCCACCTGCTTCATCTCAAATTAACAAGAAAATTCGGAACGGTCGAGACAACGACATCAATTTCGAAATCACTAGATTTCTACAATAGGCTACCCAATCAACCTTCCCCCATTCGCCCTTATCTTTTTCATTAATGTCTTTAGCATGTTTAACCAAGTTACCTTGACACATTGTCCCTTGCACCATAACTGAACAGAGGAAGACCAAGATAAGTAGTTTACACTACCTATCAAGGGAATGTGGTGATCGAGTGATATGGGATGCTGGAAATCATATGTTTAGAACCACATATATCTTAATTGAGTGACATTTTTCTTAAAGCAAAAGCCGAAAAATAGACTTCCCTCACCGAAGGTGGTTGGAAAATAGTGTAGCAGGCATATATCCACTCAGAATCACTAGGCGACCCTACTGGATAAAAAATCATTGAAAATTACAAAAACTAGGTTGTCTCCACAAAAAATCGATAGATTTGATTGCCAGAAGTGATTGAAATTAGATGAAAGTTGAATGCATAGTGTCGGAAAAAGCAGGTAATCATATCTAGAAAAAGAATCTAACCAGAAAGTGGCCTAAATTGTGCTCACGCACCAGTGCTCAGACAAATCTCATCGAATTCTACCCTGATCTTTTCAGCCTGTGGGGCGTCAGATGTAGACGAAGCAGTGTTATCAAAAGCAAAAGGGGCAAGAAAAGATCTAAGGTTTTTTATTGACAATGGTAACAAGTTTTTGTATAAATCTTCAACACTAAGGCTAGGGTCCCAAAAATTTACATCACAGAGCTACTTACAACAGAGTAGGCTCAGCAACCCAAAAAACAAATCTATCTCAAGGTCCTATCTCATCTTACAAGGATCCTAAGATGTCTACAGTCACTACAAAATCATCTATATATTCCAAACTACACCAGTAGCAAAAAGTGATAATGCAGTTTGTTTTAATCCTATTCAGAGGGCTGCTAACACTTTCAAAACATCTCGAATTTCTCTCCTTCCAAATGGTCCACCATATCACTGCTGAGACAATTTTCCATTTGTTTTTGTCCATGCTACCACACCCCCTTATAGTTCCAGCTTACTAGAGCCTAACCTGTCCTTTTAGGCATAGTCCACCTTATGCCTCTGAAATTAGTAACGAAGTTCCATAATTGGCTAACCACTTTACAGAGTAAAAACAAATGGTTGTCTCTGTCTTTTGCTCACAAAAAAAACATCTTGGACACATTTGTATGCCCTTCTTCATGAGGTTTTCTTGCGTTAGAGCAGCCTCTTTCACTACCAGCCAAGTGAATACTATCACCTTGTAGGGAATTTTTACTTTCCATATAAGCTTCCAGGGAAAGAAACTGATTTGAGACCCCGTCTGATTCAAACTCTTATAAGCAAATTTGACTGTGAATAAACCTTCATTATGGCACTTCCATCTGAGAGTATCATCTCCTTTCTTTGGTCTTGTATACTGATCTAAGGTGCCATAAAATTCAGCCAATGTTTCGACTTCCCAATCTTGCATCAGTCTTCTATAGGTTAGGTTCCACCATTGAGGAGTCCATACTTCTTGTAGAGTAGACTCCTATTGCTAATTTAGTAGGTAAATATCTGGAAAAGGTTGCTTGAGACTGTCATTTCCTATCCAATCATCATCCCAAAAATTGATCTTCCTTCCACTCTTTACATTGAAGCTTGTTCTTTTAAAGAAAACATACCCCAAGTTTCTGATTGACCTCCACAAACTGATGCCATAAGCAGAGAAAACTTCTTTGGTCTTCCAGAAATCTTCCTTCTCATATTTTTCTTGGATCACCCTCACCCACAATGTCTGCTCTTCTTTAGGGAATCTCCACAGCCATTTCATAAGCAAGCTTTTGTTATGTTTTCCCAAATTTTTGATGCCTAAACCGCCATGCTTTTTTGATAGGATTACAGTCTTCCATTCAACAAAATGAAAACCTTCGTACTCCTTTTCTCCATTCCACAAAAAATTCCTCCTTATGTGCTTTAAGCGCAAATAGAGTGTGGGCTTTAATAAAAGAGGTGCAAAGGGAGAAAAACACAAATGTATAATTTAGTCCAAGGCTAATAATTATAAACATGAATGCCAGACATATGAGAAAGTAATTGAGAAGAAATTATGATAAAGTACATGTCAATAGTTAAAAGTCGCCTCTTGAGAAGAGGCTCATTGGCAAGGAAAAGCATTTCTCAGAACTTAGATGACGACACTAAAGCACACATTAAGGAAGGAAAGACGCTCAATATGTTTTGAGCCTCACTTCAAGGCTTAAGCACTCATTTGACAACACTGCGACAGAAATGGCCGGATTAGCTCACTAGAGTCCGATTCTCATGGTGGGAATTGGCTTGATTGCAACACTTACGAATACAAGATTCTCTTTAAGTAAACGTGAGTTTGCCAGAAAAAATCTTCAATTTTGAAATTTTCTCTTCCTATATGTTGTTGGCCTTTACGGGGCCCTGATACCATGTGAACGGAAGAGAAAATGAGATACTCAATTTGATCATTCCCTCAAGCTATTGAGGTTTAAATAACAATGTTTGCATGTCCTAAAAAGAAAGGAAATCAATACCGAATTACAATAGGAGTAAATTAAGCTACCTCCTATATTTACATATATTCTAGATTTTTCACAAGTATTCTAATCATCTCTAGTTTGCTCCTTTGTATACTTGGTGATATAGTGAATTGGTCCTCTCCACCATGGACATAAGTTTCTTATCGACCAAACCAGATAAATTGTGCACCTCTTTTATTTGCATTAGTTACCGTCATTATCGACTTACTTGTTTAAGTACACGGCTACATCAGAACACATAAATGAGTCAATCCAAAAGATAAGTGGTTCGGAAGTCACATGAATCATATATCCAAATATTGCATGAGACAAAGCAGACATTTCCCATAGTTCAACTTTCTTACGAGGATCCGTTTGACTAAGCTATTCATGGAAGCACTCCTAGATGGAAAAGCCATTTGCAAAAAAAAGGAGCAAGAAATCTGATATATGATCACTCATTAAGTGCACAATTAATATGACATCCTTTTCCCAGTAAAAGCACGAGTAGTTGACCACAAAGTTAATGCATCTTACTTTTTTGCTTTTCACTACAGCAGATAACCTCCTTTTTAAATCTCATTGAAACATCAGCAGCAGTATGACCGCGTAATAACAACAAACCACTTATATATTGTCAACCCCTTGGAGTCCTAATTTCCCTATCCCTGAATGAAGAGGTGATGGACCAGATGGGATCACTCGAAATCTTTCTCATCTCCAGTTACAAGATCCAAGCCATTAAGATTTTGTGAAATCTCACAATTCAACAAGGCCTTAGCTTCAGAGAATTAAGAACTCAGCCCAAGAAGCATTGCTATATTTCATTCATCATCTTTATAATAGCCCACTCCTAATGATACTCACTCCAGCAGCATGTTGGTCAATGTTGAAGTTCACTGAAGCATACTAGGATTAAGATAATTAATTATTTGGGCCTGTGAATTAAATGCCTTAAAGTAGGACAAAAATGACTAGTGATCTACAATTTTGCATTAGTACTTGCAGTTTTGTGAATTCTACTATACCTATCCACAGTAAGTAGCACTTCAAGGACTTGGGAGTACCTGTTGACTGACGACTGTGCCGTACATTAGACTAAGGTCAGAATTACAGGACATACACAATTGATGCATTAGGAATGTGAAGTACCTATAACAATATATGCAAGATGCAGAAGGGAACAACAATGAATTTTCAACACTAAATAACTTCCCTATCCCAACTAAAACACACTCTACAGGATATTTAACAGGAACAAACACCAGAATCAACTCTTGAGATGAGTGGCGGAGCTACAGTTTCGTTAACCTATTCCGGTAGTTTTTGACCCAATCTCATTTATGCTAAGAAACTCAGTAAATATTCATAAACAATTCATGCTCAAAATTTTACAGGAAACAGATTTGGAAGTTTTAAGAAAAAAAATCAATAGTGAGCAAGAAAAGGAAAAGGAAGAAATAATTTACTTGTGGGCACTGCATTGAGACTCGAGGTTGATGAGGTTTTGAGAAGGGGAAGATGGGTTGCCTTCAGGAAGAGCACTAAAACTTGCTCTCGTGCAATTTCTTCTCAACATACACTGTAAAGGTCTCTTCATCGCCATTGTTGACCAGAGTTTAGAAACAAATTACCGCCTCCCCTCTCTTATGAACCCAGACCAAATTAATAAGAATCAATAACTAATATGAAGCCCTCAATATACGTGTATATCTTGAATTGTCTCGATTGCTTCAATTTATCTTTTTCCTTCTTTCTTTTGTTTTCTTGCGTGACGTATATTGCCACCGTCAATTCTATGCTCTCCGTCCCATAATACTTATTTTAATATATTTGTTTGCATTATAAAAAAAATATTTAATTAATTTATTATATTATTAATTATAAGTTATTTTTATTATATTTTTAAATTATTATATTTAAACATTGATATAATCAAAATTAATCTTTTATTTATAATTTCTTAAAAAATATTTTTTTTAATTATTAAGAATATTTAAATTTTATTGTTAAATTTAAGATGATTTGATATGAGAGTAACCTAAGTTTTGTACTTAGTTTCTTAATTATCGATAGTTTTTTAAAAAATATTTTCTATTTGATCAATTAAATTTAAACATATTTTTATAAAAGTATGAAAATCTTAATAAAAAGTAGACACATGTGTTGAAAATAATTTTTATATTTTATGAGAATTTAGATATATATTTTACTCTTATTGTAAGATTGAATTTATTAAAATTTAGTTGATCAAGTAAAAAAATTAAAACTATACTTTAAAAATTAAATTAATAATCAATATATATATATATATATATATATATATATATA